TTGGTAGGAAAGGTTATAATTTCTTTATATCAATACTTTTCCTCACAGTCTTTATGTTAGACTTTGGAATACTAAGATTAGAACTCAGCCCCATGTGTGCTCATTTGCAGGTTGATCTCAGTATCAAAATAACAGCAAACAATTTAATTCATGTATTCTAATTTTCAAACAAACGAATAAAGATCCACCAGTGTTTTTCCCCCTTGAATGCCCAGTCTTCTCAAGAAAACATACGGTGCTGGTTTATCTATGTCATCCAAATGTTTTTCTTTCACAGAACTCTCTATTATTATGCTTGGACAGGGGAGGGTTTACAGGAACTATGTCTCTCTGCTTTGTGTGGCAGGGGTAGTAAGGGAAAAGAACTCGAAAGAATATAAAAATATAAATGTTAATCAAGATCTGTTTTATTTCGCTTAATTACATGTACAATTTTAACCCTTGTATCAAAATGGTCCTACAAGATTTGGCTCACTGATGGCACTGCTGGTGGTTAAGTGCTTATTCCTAAGTTAAAGGGCCCTATTTTATTCTATTGTTTCTAATAGAGCATTAACCTTTTTCAGCCGTATGCAGTAATGATCCGCACTGCAGATGATAGTATTACAGTATGGTCATTTTTTAACTTAAAAAGTCTCTCTGATAAAATGTTTATGAAACATTAATTCTATTCCTGCATAAAAGGGCCTTTTAAAACCAATTCTGTGTTTTGTTTTCCTTTTTTTTTTCAGTACCATGTTAGATAATACCCCTTTTCCACCGACTCCAATTGGCCTGGCTCTATTCCACTGCGCCAATTCTAAAATGTTTCCATTTCTGCTTTTTCAGTATTGTTACTGGCTTCTTTAGCGTTGCTTGTTAAAGTGTTACTTTAATACCTACAAAGTTGAATATAACTCTGTTTCAGATAACATTTGGTCCCATTCCAAATGAGTGTAAAATTTACACTATAGCAAGTGTCAGTTTTTCAGAGTTAATCTTACTAATATTTGTGTCAAAATCAAGAAGACATCTCAGAGACTGGCGGGTAACTGACACCATATAGAGTAAAAGTTACACTGCATGGCTGTCAAATTTTACACTGATTTACTCCCAACACGAGCAGATTTACACTGAGTATAGTTGTAACTACTCCATTTAGAGTTAAATAGGTTAGCTCTGAATTCTTAACACCCATTTTTTTTACTGTGTACCTACCAAAAAAAGCAGAATGGAGTAAAGCCTGATCAAGTCAAGCCAGAGGCAGAGGGACACAAGTTGAGCACTCAAAGCACAATTATACACGGACCTGCACTAAACTATTCTATACTGATGAACTTCTTCAATAATTGGGTATTTTATATTTCCTCAACTAATTTCATGTGGATATAACTCTGCAAATACTTTTTGGGACCTTTTTATACTTTTTCCTTTTTGTGGAACAGTCTCAGCATGCATGCATTGTCCATGATATGATCTCTCTGTTGAAATTTCTTTTAGATTTTTTTTTAATAATCATAAACAAAAAGAAGTTAAAACAAAATAACTTTTTGTTTTAACTTACCACTTCATAATTATCATAACAATTAAAAACGGGCTTAAATGGAAAGTCAGCTGGACTTTCATACTGACCAAAATTCCAACTGCCTTCCTATTTAAGCCTGTTTTGTGGTTTCCAGGACCAGGATGACTGAGAATTTGCACAGACATCATCAGAATTACTAGAAATAAATTCTTTAAATATCCCTCTGGCTGTGAAAATGGTTTTACATAAATTACCTTCTTTAAATATAATTGATGATCCAAACTAACTGAGGATATTGTAATATATTTGGGATATCAGTAAACAAATGGGGTTGAAAACATAAGTGTGAAACAATAGATGAAGTTAATAAAATACTACAGCTGCAACTTATTCTGTGATTTGTTTTGCTAAACCCACTCTGTGAATGTTAGATTATCTAAACACTTCAGCATCCAACACTAAGCATTCCTTTGGGGTTTTCCTCAAGTCGATAACTTGGCTTATTTCAGCTGCTACATCAGATTAAAGTCCCTCAAGTAGAAAGGTGAAAATGAAAACACGCAAAATTCAGAAAACAGAAGCACTCAGCTTTTCTCAGCTAGCAGTGAATTTCACATTTGGGGCCTCGGGGGAGTATCCAGTTATGACGTCCTTCAGGGAGTGACAGTGCTTGGATTTTCGTCAATACAGGGTTCAGGTAGTGTGGCCCTATAACATTCTGAATTATTGATGCCAAAGAGATTGGATGCCAGTTAACATTCGCTGTTATATATGAGGAGTTGAAGGAGGGATGAGGGTTATTGGCGAACATAAATGCCACCCAGCATATTCTTAAACAGATCTGTTTGATTAGACACCTCTGGAGAAGTTCTCATTCTAAATGCCACAAGCACCCCAGAAGATTGAAGGTGCCTCTTGTCTGTCAGAGGGCACACAGGGTTAGGGGGAGCTATAGGCCTCTGAAGATTAATGTAAATAATTAACAGCAGGCAGACAAATGAAAGGGATCTCACTGATGCACGCCCAATCCCTTCTCCTCTGATGGTCCTTTGGGCTTTTTCTATCCCTTTGCAAATAGACATGAAGACGATGGATTGTGCCTGCAGCTTTTTGCCGATCGATCAGAGAACCGCCTCTCTGTCTGAATCCTGCTTTAGATCCTTCTGGGTGAAGCCTAGCCAGCTTTTTGTCTGAATAAAGAGGTCCTGAGAGCAAGCCTCACTGGAGGCACTCGTTTTGTTGTCTTAAAGTTTAACTGAGAGTACTTGATTTTGGACAAAAACATAATTTTTATTGAATTTTGCTTCTTTAATTAGAGCCCAATATCTTTATGCTAATTCTCTCAGAAGCTGGTGTGGGTCAAATGAGTCAAAAAAACAGCTTCTTGAACTTTCCTCTCTGTCTGTTAGCTCGTCTTCACTTCAACAGAAAGTCTCTTAAGATGTGTCATGAAAGCTCAAGTCTAAAACGCAGTCTAATCTGTAGGGATTATTCATTGAGGACCGAGGTGCAGTCATTTGACTTGGGGTGACAGTCAAAGGCCCCTATGAGGGGACAAGCCATCACTTGTCTGAACTTCATAGATGTAGGGTCAATGTAGCTTTCCCCTGGGAATGAACTGAGTGACAGGATGGCAAAGAGGGTCCCAGCCTCTTCAGACAGGGGCATTTCAACCCAAATCGCATCCTCCCCTTTTTACCTACAACAGCAGACACTTGGGGAGTAAAAAATACATTGTAGTGACACAAGGCAGCTGACGTACTAATCCAAGAACTTAAGGCCTAAAGGGGCTGTTGATTTTCTACTCCTTGTAAAATGCAGGAAGCCACCCGTCATTGCACTTAGACCATGAAAGCCTAAACTAAGGAAATTAGTTAAAATTATCCCTCAAGCTATTTTGTTTGGGGCACTGTTGGGCCTCTGAAAATTAAAGAAATCCCCAGCTGCTTTATCTGACATGTTTTTATTAAAATACTGAGACCTGATCTTTGCCCGGTCAATTGTGTGTATTAGCCACCTACCATCTAGTTTAAAAGGTATTCAGTACCTCTCTGGAGGTCCTAAATTTGACACATAGTTAAAGAGTTTAGGGATGCAAAGAAACACTTAATGAAAGTTCAAAGCTTGAAATTTAGCTTGAATGAGGAATGTTTAATTCTATAAAAAAATCTGTGTAAAATTTTTACTCATGATTTTAATACACTACAAATTCATCCTATTAAAATATTCAGTTTAGCTGTTAACAGGACATTTAAAGGTGTTGTTTATTAGGAAGTGGTACTTATGCTTGAATAATCTCTGGAACCTTCTCTATCTGCTATAGGAGCTGTTTTCTCATTTTTTGCCCAAAGCTCCAGGATATAAGTTTTGCCCAAGTAATGTCTGCATGTTTAACTGTTGGAAATAAGTAGGAAAGTTTGCTCAGCTTTACTTAGCTGATTATCAAATACCTCTGGGTTAAGATAGAAATGGATACAAATGAAAAGCAATTTTTTTTGTAATATTAGAAAATAATAGTCTTATGCTTCTGGAATAAACTTTCCTTTACACCGCCTTACAGTTTTGCATGTCAGCTGTTGCTGGTTTTTGTGGAGTTGACTCCCAACATAAGAATGATGCAAGTTTTGGAGAAAAACAACTTGGATCTGATGGGGCTGTGTGATTGGTGTCATGGGACCACAATCAGATCAGTGGTTCGATGAACCTTCCTAAAGGAGAACTGGGAGGGATAAGTTGGCCCAGGACACAACAAAACCATCTTTGTCCAAACAACAACCATTTCTATCATGCGCTGTTTTTCCTCCTGTCACATTTCTACTCACATGTGGTTGTTTTGACAAGGCAATAGAACCTTTGGGTGGAAGCTCGCCCCAAAAGCCAGATAGCTTGACATGTAGATGTTTCCTAATATTGGATGAAGATACTCTGCCGGCAATCCCTGTTTGGACCCAGCAACCTTTGTAAAAGGATTTTTAAACTTCAAAAGCTTCTGGAGCCAGTAAATGGAGGTTTAAGTAGTGCAGAAACCCTGCTTTAAAAATCTATAACCATTTATTATCTTACGTTTGTTATATAACATAATATGTAGGAAATTAAAGCTATCTCTGTCTCCTGTTACTCATAAAAGGTTCATTCTTCTTGAAATTATCCTTACAAAGGGTAATGTGCCTAATTTTGTCCAAGTATTACAAAGAGTCTAAGAATCTGCTGATCAGATAAATTTAAAAATGTCAGAGTGAAATGTGGCATACAAAAGAGGGGACATTTGTTGACTGTCCTGCTTTATTGATGTTAAAGTTTTAACATCAATAAATCTGTTACTGCTATAACATAATGTTGCTCAGTTTTAGAAACTTTTTAACTTGAGGACATTTAGTTAAACTGAAAAATGCATACTATTAAATTCATCCACCACTATAACAACAGTTGATACCTTTACAGTTAATTTGTTGCAGAAGTTCCTGTCTTCAGTATTTTGGAGCACACAGATTGTACTGTTCTCTCTATGTGTTTTGCTCTTGCGTGAACACAGATAAACAGCCAGCCAAACTCCTTATTCAAGAGCCAGGAAGTGAGCGGCTTGCTCCTTTATTGTCTTCTTACAAAGTTAGTCAGCATTTCTGACTGCAATGAATTCGGTGTAAAACTAGAAAAGAAAGATACAAAAAAATGTCTTAAACAGCCATGTAAATATCAGTATTAACGTATCAAAGTATTAGCTGCTTAATATTAACTCAACAGGTATTCTCACAACAGGCTAGCACAGCAGCAAATTAGCAAGTAAACACAACACACTGCTGTCACACAAAATATCAATAAAAGATATCAACACTTCTTATCGAATCTATAAACAAGGAGTAACACTTACAACCATTGCTTTCTGAGAGATTAGCTGCATTTTTGCGGTCCTGAGACGATGTATACACGTTTTTTCTCCTGCTAACGTTTTTACTTCCTACTTCCGGTTCGGCAGATTTTCAAAATAAAAGCACCCGAAAATACATAGAAAAATAAAGAACAGTATATTAACATTTCGAAGTTGTTTTTAAGTGTCTTTTAAACATATTAAACATATTCAGGGCAGAACACTCCCCGTCTGGCATTTATTGATGCCACTTAAGATTTAAATGTCCCGATTTGACCTCTGGCTTTCCTTTGCCAGGAGTAAGACCACCTCAGTAACAGGCCTTAAGAATGTCTTTACTTTATCCTGTGATGTTGTCCTAACCTCAACTTTGCGGACTCTCCCATCACCGCTTGGGCTCGTAGATGTGACCAGACCCATTGGCCACTCGTTGCGGGGGGAATCACTCTGTTTAAGTAGCACAATGTCTCCGACTTCCAAGTTGCGACATGCTGTGTGCCACTTACGCCTTGGTTGAAGGGTATGGGGGTATTCAGCTCTCCATCGTCTCCAAAACTCATTAGCAAGTGCCTGCACCTGTCTCCACTGACACTTGAAAAGATCCTTTTCGTCGAAACTGCCGTGTGGAGGAGACACACCTGGTTTTTGGGTCAGCAGCATAGCAGGGGTCAGCAGCATTGGAGAGGAGGGATCGGAGGAGACCGGGACTAATGGTCTGGCGTTGATTATAGCGCACACCTCTGCCATTACAGTACAGAGCACATCATGAGTCAGGTGAGTATGCTTGGTTCTCAGCAGCATGGAATCGAGTATCCTCCGGGTCACGCCAATCATGCGTTCCCACACCCCTCCCATATGGGATGCATGTGGGGGGTTGAATTCCCATGTGCAACCATTCTCATTTAAGTACTTTGAAATGCTGGTTTGCTTTGGATCGTCCGGTCCCATGCCCAGTTCGGAGCTGGCTCCAATAAAGTTTGTGCCCCGATCTGATCTCAGCTGCTTCGCTGGCCCTCTTAAAGCGAAAAACCTTCGGAGGGCGTTAATGCAGCTGGCTGTATCCATCGACTCTATGACTTCCACATGCACAGCTCTGGTGCTCATGCATGTAAAAAGTATGGCCCAGCGCTTGCTCTGAGCTGCGCCACCTCTGGTGCGTCGGGTGAGGACTTCCCAGGGGGCAAAAACGTCTAATCCTACATAGGTGAATGGCGCTGAAGAGCTCAGACGCTCGGGAGGGAGGTCAGCCATCTTTTGGACCTCAAGTCTTCCCCTCAGCTTGCGGCAGGTGACACAACGATGAAGGACTGAACTTATTAACCTTTTGCCAGCCACAATCCACAGGCCTGCAGCCCTGATTGCACCCTCTGTGAATTGTCGCCCTTGGTGTTCAACTTTCATGTGGTAATGATTCACCAGTAGTGTTGTGACATGACTTTGCCTTGGGAGAATGATTGGATTTCTCACCTCTGGACTGATTGATGCATGTCTCAGACGTCCTCCGATCCGTAAGAGGTCATCGTTCATGAAAGGATCGAGGTTCAGGATTGCTTTTGTTCTTGAAATTGCTCTGTCTTCTTGCAGTGCAGTGTACTCTTCTGGGTAAGCCTCCCTTTGAACAGACTTGAGTATGACCCGCTTCGCTGCTGTCAACTCTTCTGGAGTACGAAGTCTGCTGCATCGATGCCATCCTTTACATGTAGCTGATGAGTCAGATCTGAATGAACGAGTTTGATGGATCAAAAAGGAAACTGCCCTCAGCAAAGACCCCCAAGTGGAGAAACGTTGGAAACGTCCTGAGGTGAGTTCACATTCATTAATGCAGGTAGCAAGGGTGGTCAGTTGAGGTCTTACATCTGGATCTGTTTCGGGATCCACCAACTTAAAGGTCTCTTTTGCTTCAGCCAGGAATGGTTTGTGAAGGAACTCTGGCCCCGTAAACCACATGCTGTTGGTAAGTTGAGATGCTGGAACAGATCTGGTGGCCAGATCAGCTGGATTTTGACCTGTAGGCACATAATGCCACTGTTGAGGGGAAGTTGTCTTGCGTATGCGGTGAACACGGTTGTGTACATACACAAAGAATCGCTTTGTTTCATTGCATATATAACCAAGGACAACTTTACTGTCACAATAAAACCTCACTGCATCTGGTTTGTGGTCAAGCTCGTCAAGGATCAGTTCAGCCATCTCGACGGCCAGCACAGCTCCACACAGTTCGAGGCGAGGGATGGTGGGTTCGGGTTGAAGAGCCAGCTTAGCCTTTCCGAGCACAAAGCTAACTCGACACTGCCCATCTGTCATGACAACTCTGAGGTAAACTTATGCCCCTATTGCCCAGTTTGAAGCGTCAGAAAAAAAACATAACTCTGTATATGTGGCACTGGAGAGTGACCGTTGTATGTAGGAGCGAGGTAGATGGAGGTCACTCAGGTCCTTTAACGATTCTTTCCATGTTTCCCATTTGTTTAACTTGTCTGCAGGAAGTTCAGTGTCCCACTCGTGAATGTCAGCAGAAAGTTCTCTGAGCAAAGCTCGTCCTTTGATGGTCACAGGCGCAACCAAGCCTAATGGGTCGAAGACGCTATTAACGGTGGATAGCACTCCACGACGGGTGAACGGCTTGTCGTTGACTGCCACTTTAAATGTGAAGGTGTCAGAGTCTATGTTCCAGCACAAACCGAGACTTCTTTGCACTGGAGAACTTCTTTGTCAAGGCCCAGGTCTCTCAGGCCTGCAGCCAGGTCTTCAGGTTTGAAGGCTTGCATCACTGTGATGCTGTTAGAGGCGATTTTATGCAGTTTCAGATTTGATTCTGCCAGCGAAGCTTGAGTACGCTTGAGCAGATCAATAGCTTCAGTCTCTGACGGGAGGGAGATGAGCCCATCATCCACATAAAAGTGTCTTTCAACGAAGTGGCGCGAGTCAGAGCCATACTTTTGTTCACCTTCTTGGGCAGCTCTCCGGAGGCCGTATATAGCAACTGCCGGCGAAGGGCTGTTCCCGAACACATGTACTCGCATCCTGAGCTCCATCACTTCCTTAGTCAGATCGTTATCCTTGTGCCAGAGGAATCTTAAGAAGTCTCTGTGGTCTTCTCTCACCAAGAATCCATAGAACATTTGTTGGATGTCGGCAGTCAGTGCAACAAGCTCCTTTCTGAATCTTAGCAGCACTCCCAGGAGTGAGTTATTTAAGTCAGGGCCTGAAAGCAGGACGTTGTTAAGAGAGATGCCACATTCTTGTGCGCTCGAGTCAAATACAACTCGTATCTGACCCGGCTTCTGGGGGTGGTACACTCCGAAAATGGGTAAGTACCAACACTCTGCATTCTCAGGAAGAGGGGGAGCTTCTTCAGCATGTCCGTTTAAAAAAAGCCTCTCCATAAAGGCAACAAACGGTTCTTTCATTTCAGGATTTTTGTTCAGTGTACGTCGCAAGGAGTGGAGACGGGAGAGGGCTTGAGCATGATTATTTGGAAGGCGTGGCCTGGGGAACCTGAAAGGTAGGGGAGCAGTCCAGCTGTTCTTTTCATCTCTGTGGAACTCCTTTTCCATGACCTCCAGAAACTTTTCGTCCTCGAAAGATAAGGCCGGTTTGTCATCATTCTCTGTTCTCACGAACACACAGCATCCAAGCTTGTCCTGAGATGCTATGCCGTTGCCAGAACAGCTGGAGAGATGAGTAGAGGTGCCAGGTCTGTGCTCCCCGCCGTAGCTCACCTTTTCTTTGACGCTGATGTGTTCCTGACAGGGCGTCAGATAGGATGGACGTCCGTTCTGCAGGATGTTGGTCTTATAGACAGCCACAGTGGGTTTGTGAGCACTATCAATACAAACTTCCCCCACTATCACCCACCCCAAATCCAAACGCTGGGCAAAAGGTGCTTCGTGGGGCCCATTGATTTGCTGTCTCACCTTATGGGCACGTATGAGGTCTCTCCCCAGTAAGATCAGGATCTGCGCCTCAGGATCAGGCTCTGGGATGTAAGGCGCAACAGGTCTCAAGTGAGCGTGGGAAAGAGCGACCTCCGGTGAGGGGATTTCTGATCGATTGCTCATGATCTCATTACATTCAATGAGTGGTGGTAAGTCTAAACACAATTCACTATTTACTGCTTGTACCTGGAAGCCGACTGCCTTCCTTCCAGTCATTTCAACAGTGCCGGCACAAGTTCTCATCAGGTAGGGTGAAGGGTTGCCTTGGACACCAAAAAGCTGGAAAAACTCAGTTCTAGCCAGCGAACGATTGCTTTGGTCATCAAGGATGGCGTACATCTTGATTGAGCGTTCTTTCTGTCCTTGTGGGAAAACTTGAACCAAGCATATCTTTGCACAAGATCGTGCTGGGAGGCCTTCTCCGCAGACCTCAGTGCACCTTGATGTAATCTCTGAAGGCGTGTTGTTTTGCTGTTCTCTGTCTGGCTCAGTCATAGATGACACTGCTGGTGAGAGGTGTATGTCTGGATGCATGGCTGTGCAGTGTCGATCACTTTCACATTCGTAGCATTTCAGCTCCACAGAACAGTCTTTAGCCATGTGAGTAGCAGAGCAGCACCTAAAACATCGTCTGTGATCTCTTAGCAATCCTTTTCGTTCTGTTAGCGGTTTCATTTTAAAGGCCCTGCACTTTTCCAGAGGATGAGATTTGTTGTGAAGTGGGCAGTATTTAGCTGGATCACCACTGTTTTTCTTCTCCATCTCTGCTCTATACATTGAGTTCGAACCTGCAGCCGCTGACAAGTCTGTCTTATGGACGGCTATAGTCGTTCTCACACCGTCATGCTTCCCTATGGGCCTCTCATTACGGCAATAAGGGCGGTTGTTGTTTGTCAAGACAAAGCTGGGGTCATTTCTAGCTTTTGCTTCACTATTGACAAAGTCAGCAAAGAAGGAAAATGGGGGATAACTTACAGCATACTGTTCTTTGTATCTTGATCCAGTAGACAGCCATTTTTCTTGCAGGTTTATTGGCAGCTTTTCAACAATGGGGTTAATGCCCCGAGGTGTGTCAAGGTAGCTGAGTCCAGGTAAGTATCCATCATCTTTGGCTGAGAGCAGCTCCATGAGCAGGTCGCTAAGTTCTCTTAGTTTGATGTTCTCCCTTGAAGTGAGACGAGGAAAACTGTCCAACCGTTTGAATAGAGCACTCTCTATCACTTCGGGGGTGGCGTAGCACTCTCTGAGCCTTGTCCAAGACATATGAAGAGCAGCTTCAGGGTTAGTGACATGTACTGCTCGAATTATTTTAATGTGTTCAGATGATTCCTTTCCTAGCCATTTTACCAGGAGATCTAACTCTTCACTAGCTGTTAGGTGTAAGTCTTGAGTGGCGTTAAGGAAGGAGGACTGCCACGCTCTGAAGCTCTCAGGCTGATCATCAAACTTGGTAAGACCTGTCGTTACTAACTCTCTGCTTGCCAGATATTTAGCAAAGTCCATCATGTTAGCAGCTGGATTAATAGCAGAAGCCCTTGTGTGTCTTGGTGTGGTGGGAGAACCAACATGGCGGTAGTTGGGGCTTAATTCAGGGTCCTCCTGCCTTTTCATTGGCTGTGTCTCTTTTATATGGGGAGGGGACAGTGTGTCTGAGGCAGGTGTGTCAGGACTGAACCTGGTCTGAGCTTGATGGTTCAGATATGCCTCCGTTCGCCGTTGAACTACCTGTGGTGAGACGTCACTCCTGATGACACTGCCTATGTCCTCATATTCTGATCGTGCTGCAGCTTCTAAAATCTCAGCCTCTGCATTAGCAGCAGCAGCATCTTTTTCAAGTTCTAGTGCTTCTAGGTCTGCTTCTAGTGTAGCTTTTTCCAAATCTAATTTGGCTCTCTGTTTTTTCAATTCCAACTCTTTTTGTCCATATGTGACCCTGGCGCGTGCAGCTTCAGCTGCAGCTCTGGCCTTAGCAGCAGCGCTAGCCACTGAATGCTTGGAGGAAGACGTGCGCTTTGAGCTGGCTACTGATGCTGCCTTTTCATCCTTTTGCGTTGTCTGGGCTTCCATAACTGCAGCAGGCAAATCCCTCTGATGAAATGGTTTTTTACTGTACTGTTCTCTCTATGTGTTTTGCTCTTGCGTGAACACAGATAAACAGCCAGCCAAACTCCTTATTCAAGAGCCAGGAAGTGAGCGGCTTGCTCCTTTATTGTCTTCTTACAAAGTTAGTCAGCATTTCTGACTGCAATGAATTCGGTGTAAAACTAGAAAAGAAAGATACAAAAAAATGTCTTAAACAGCCATGTAAATATCAGTATTAACGTATCAAAGTATTAGCTGCTTAATATTAACTCAACAGGTATTCTCACAACAGGCTAGCACAGCAGCAAATTAGCAAGTAAACACAACACACACTGCTGTCACACAAAATATCAATAAAAGATATCAACACTTCTTATCGAATCTATAAACAAGGAGTAACACTTACAACCATTGCTTTCTGAGAGATTAGCTGCATTTTTGCGGTCCTGAGACGATGTATACACGTTTTTTCTCCTGCTAACGTTTTTACTTCCTACTTCCGGTTCGGCAGATTTTCAAAATA